TTTGTCTGTCATGGGGCTTGAACTCTGGGCCTGGGCGCTGTCCTTCAGCTCTTCAACTCAAGGTGAGTGCTCCACCACTTGAGCTACAGAGCCACTTCCGGTTTTCTGGTGGTTTATTGGAGATAGGAGTCTCACGGACTTTCCCACACGAGCTGGCTTTGGATGGCGATCCTCAGATCTCAGCCTCCTGAGTAGCTAGGATGACAGGTGTAAGCCATTGCCCCCGGGCTACAGCCTTTAATCTTAATCTTCTCCTTCTCCTTCTTATAACAGTACCAGGTCTTGAACTCAGAGCTGCTCCGTAGCTCTGTCACTCACAGCTGCTGACCACTGGTAGACCACTGGAGCCACAACTCCACTTCAGGTTTTGGCTGTTCATTGACAGTAAGAGTCTCATAGACTTTGCTCCTCAGGCTGGCTTTAAATCACGATCCTCAGAACCGAGCCTCCTCAATAGCTTTGATTACAGGCACCAGCCACTGATACTGTTCTTTACAAACAGCCTTTGCTTAGATTTAATTTTTAAATGAGCCCAGACTCGTGGTATAAGCACAGCTTTTTGTTTTAAAGGAGAGCAGACAGTATACAGACCCATGCATCCACTCTATTCCAACAAGCCCCACCTCACAAGACAGAAAACTAGAGTCTCTACAGACACTGGCATTCTCCTATCAAAATGTTCCTTATCAAAACTTCAAAAAGACGAGAGGCTGAGTAACCACTCTGTTCCCCTAAGGAAGAAAAACGTAAACACTGATGAGACAAATTCTAATTGCATGGCTCCTTTCATGGAGTGTACTCTTATCTGTACGAAATTACCAGATAATAAAATAATGCCATTTGTCCTTTCCACAAATACTGCAAAAGGGAATATTTTTACTTCTTCCTGCAAGTGGTCCTGACTGCTCTTGTAGATGATTATTGTAATTGAAGTGTCAACCTAATTAACAACTAAACTTTGAATAATGCTAATGAGAAATGAACACAGCATCAGAGGAAGGACCAGCTCTACAGGTGATAAACTTTCACAGTGGTGACATTTCCCAGTGTAAAGTCACAACCACTGTGATCTGATCAAAGAGAAAGACCCCCATTGGGTCCAATTATAAGTAGAGTTTTGAAAAAATTATTGAGTTATCATATTCATAATCTATGCAGAAAGGCTTTCCAGTATAGGTCTCCTCCCATTGCTGTGAACTTAGCAATTTAGATCCGTGCTCCATAGGTTCGGATAAAAGTTGAGTCTAACTCATTTAGCCCACAAAGTGCATAAACCAGAATTCACTTACGAGGAGCTTTTGTTATTAAAAATCTAACCTCCATAAATGCATGCTTTTAGGAGATCCACCTATTTCAAACAATGCAGTTGAAGGATGCAAAAAATAAACCTTCCGACTTGATGTCCTTTATTTTGGCTTAAAATAATAACTTTTTTCCTAAAGTTTCAAATGCCTTTAAAGAAAAGACCAATAGAGACATACATGTGTGTACATATACATATACATATATATAATACACACATTTATACATACATAGCTAGGTAACTTACTCTTCATTATTGATCCATTCCAAAGGATTATGATAGAAGAAATATGTTCCCAATATTTTAAATTTTGTAAAAGCAAATCATTGAGGGCTTTACCTTTCGCTTTATAAAATGCACGAATAATTTTAAAGGCACATTTTTAAATTTTTGCAAAGGGACGGCTCAGATTTCACTGCCTGCGTGGCCCTGGTGACTCGGCCCTCCCTCCATCCGTCAAGGACTCGCTGTGTGTTCAGAGCTCGCAATGGCAGTGCCACTCAGGGACCAAGGCAGCCAGGCCGCTCCTCAGCCCTCACCCACCAAGCCCCCAACCGCACAGGAGCTGCTTGACCTGCCCAGGACCGGGCGCCACACTGCACCGCCCTTCCCAACCAAAGGGCAAGTAGGCCAGAGCCTGTCCTTCCCATCCCCAAGCCAGTCCCCCGGGACACTGTCTCCCCTCCACCCGCATGCGCAGAAGGCAAAGGGAAGGCCATGGGAATTGCTTGTTAGCCATCCACAGGCCGGCCAGGGCACAGAGCAAGTGCAGGGTGACACCTTCCAACTCAGATTTGCTCCACGTGAGCAACGTTGTATTTAGAAGACACAGCATAGAAGTACTGGTGAATAATTTTCATACTTAATACATCTTGAAATACTACTGAGCATAGGATTAAGTGAAATCTATTGTTAAAAATGATCTTAACTGTTTCTTTTAACTTTTTGGATGAGACTACCAGGGAACTTGATGTTAAAAACACACGGCCTGCTGCTTTTCTACTGCATACTGTTTTTCACAAACATATTTTCTCATTTTCATACGAATACCTGAGACTAGAAATCGCCCAGTAGGAAATAGGGTTTCAGTTTGGTCTTTTGGTTTTGTTTTGTTTGGACTCTTTTCTACATGATTCCAGCTTTTACAAACTACATCAAAAAGAGGTTTTCCTTGGTCTAGTCTAGAAGGTTCCAGCTGTCAGTAGGTCTGAGGTCACCCCTGTTTCCCAGAGACAGAAGGACAGAAGTAACTGTCTCTACATGTGAAAATGAAGGCTCACAAATAGTCCGTGTGAATGAAATTGCTTCTGGAAGTCTGCTTTGGACCTAAGGATGTTAATCTGACAGGAGATGCTGGTGTCAGCCCATGCTGTGTTCCTGGAGTAAATTCTCACCGGTTCCAGGGCCCTTTCCAGTGTTAATTAGCTTTTAGCAGTTTTTATCTATAAAATCACGGTGTCTCTTCTGCACTTTTTTTCTCAGGACCTGGTCTGAGAAACAGCATTTCCTGCTTTCATTCAAAACTACATTGTGTTAGGGAATAAATGTGCATCCTCCCACGAAATGCTAAAGGATCTCAACCACACACAACTCTGAATTTATACGAGCGTTTAGTTCCTTAGTCCTACAGTTATTACAACGCATCCTACTGTACTGAAACAGTGCCATCATTTTCTCTTTGTATTTGTAAGAAAAGTAAACCAGCGACACCTCTAATGGCTAAATATTACCTCAGAACTGGTCTGCTTTATTGTTTTTTAGATGCTTTTGTCTGTGAATAAGCTTTTGTCTAATTGGGTACATATGGTGCCAAAAATGTTAAAAAAAAAAAAAAAAACGGTGAAAAGAAAGTGCAGAAAAAACATTTCATCCTTGCTCCTATCAAATGTTTAAATTCCTTTCCTGCAATGAGAACGGGGCCTCTATGCAGCCCTGATCCAAGGAATTAGAAGCCGGATTTTAACACACAGGGAGTTTACTGCAGCTTGAATAATATTACCACTAATCCTCCACTTTTACCCTCTTTACACTGAAGCTCCGATGAATAAAAATGGGGCATTACAAAAGTAAACAGAGAAAACAGGGATAAATTAAAGAGTGCAAGCCACGTGCACGCAGTCTGAGTAATGAGGTAATTATGCCAACGGGAAGACTCAGAGGTGGGTTGTTTATCAGAGGGGCAACACATTCTCCTCTTTCTCGACTTCTAGAAGCATCTTTATGCTGAAAACAAACAACGGCTATGCCTTGACATTCAAATTATATTTTCAGGACCACAAACAGAATCATTATGCTGCAAGAGAAACCCAGTGTTCACAGGTAACCCTGAGGTGGCTGCCCAGCCGGGCGAGGCTCACTGAGGGACAAGCATGTCATTTCGCGAGGCCGCTCTGGAGACGCCGCAGCGTCTGCCGTGGGAATTTATCCTTTCTTTCTCATACTCAACTTTTTTAAAGAAACAAAAT